AAAACTAAAACATTTAGTTTTGCTTTTGTGCATCAGCAGAATCAGTTTCCGCGCCTTCTAGGCTGCATCTACCTCATCCAATTAAAAATTTCTGATTCCACCATGTGTACCAATCCACATAGTCTTTGTTTAGACTCGCTGTCTATAAGTGACGTGCTGTGAACCCAAACGAGTACAAGTTCTCACATCAAGGTGTAACAAAAACCGTTCTGCTATTCAGTTATTTTTGTGTACTGGTCCAAAAGCACTACATGTCGGGGTCCGGGATTGTGCGCATCCGCCGTTATTTCTTCCAACTAACTACTGTCTTCTAAAGGAGTACATGGTATGGTTCTCTAAATCGAGGTCACAAATGTGATAAGTTTAATTCCGTAAGGTCCAGGCTAACTGCACTGAGAAACAACTGCTAGTCTGTCCAAAGCCCACCACTCTCGTTAGGTTTGACGCCTAAATTAATGGTACACAAGGGAGTCTGTACTCGTACGTTGACGTCTCCAACCATTACCGCTATAATTTAACCCCTTTTAGGACTTTGAAGAGTGGTTGCTGTCCTAGAGAATGTTTCAGTCTCCAACTCCAGACTGTAAAAATAACCTAATAAAGCAGATTGAATAGTGGGCACGAATTGGCAGGTGTGAAAGGCGGTATTTCACCGGTTAATTTTGCAGGTACTTGACTGACATGCTCAAATCTGGGGTCGATAGAAGGGTGAGTAATAAGCGAGACGATGGAATGTGATACTTTACACTGGAGAACGACGGAAGCCGTCAGCGATCACATGTATTCTCTCAGTTACCCCATTATATATAGTGAATAAGGCAGCCCACTTAGTGTCAGAATGCGGTGGCCGATGTGGGATGAAGATCGTGTATTTCACGATTTTGTCATGAAATTGTGCCGTCAGTTCATTCTAAATAGCAGTTAGTGGGCTAAATACAAAATAACAAGCGAATATTAGATTTAAGCAATCATTCGGCACACAGACGTCCAAATCTAGACACAAAAAACCGAACAGCTGGCCTTTATTTAGAAACAGATTTCATCCGTCTAGTGGTTTCGTGCCTTAACCAATGAGCCGCCTTGAGTCTCGATGCGTTACGGAACTCAGCTTATTGGTCAGCAACCGCTGAACAAAAGTGATCATATCGGTGTCAAAGAAGTATAGCTCTAGAGTGTCAGTCACTCTTGAATAAACACGATTAATAATTTCATACGCTGATGCTTTATAGTTTCATTTGAGTTTCCTCAATGCACTTGCGGGAAGAGTAGCTTATTTGCCGGTATAAAAGGTCGGAGTACCACTGGTAGAGAATGCCTACTTTGCAATACTATCCTCCCTAGTGAACTTTGGGGTCAACTGGAGAGACAACATAGTTGTTCAAAAAGCCGGAAATGTTGTAGTGTTTTCTCAAAGCACACTCACAGACCACTGGATTTCACCAATGTCACTGTCACATGTTGATGCGTGATGCTGCATCATATTCAGCTCCTAGCATAAACCAACCAGACGACAAGCTATAAATCAGTTTAAGAGTGTTCCGCTTGATAAATCAGTTTGAGCTCTTCCCACATTTGTGAAGAAATCCCCGTTCTTCTGGTATTTAAGGATCCTTTGAAAACTAAACTGAAAAGGCCTCCATCAATCTACTTCAAAGATGTTGTTCAGCTGTTTTGACGAAGTTGTATCCTCTCACTAGATTGTGTTTAGATTATAGAGAATTGAGTGCAAATCAGTCATCATATTATAGTTCAGAACCAACTTGGGGCAATCACCTCATCCGCATAGATATAAACATTAAACCTGTCATAATGCAAGTGCAGGACTACCGAGGCTAATACACTAAATGCAGTATTTGAGACTGACCAGAGGTAAGAGAGCAACGTTTGCAGTTGGTGGTGTCTGGCTGACCATTTCCCAAAGTTACGTCTGACATCTGATGTAGGCTAGAGAACAACATTTCTCTTCTAAATTCAAGACAGTTTTTTGAGCTCGTACATTCTGCCTATATATCATAATTCCTCAAACTTCGGAGATGTAATTCGTACTCTCTATTCTAACACACTTGCTTTTGGGTATCCAGCGAACTAACCTACATATTTCATCAGCCAGTAGGGTTCATTTGCGGCATCCCCACCAAAAACACTCGTGTTTTTCCAAGCAATTTCCTCCACACCGATGTATTTCGCTCGTGCGTAAATATCACCTCGAAAATGCCAACCGCAGATGTAATCAATAATAAAACCTACCTTCTTGGGTAAATTGCTCCTTCATTTTGATCGCTGTACCGGATAGTGAATTTCGCTCCCAAGGTTATCACTCACACACAGCAGAGACACCTAAAATAGCATGTACTTACAGCATGAAAAGCTAGCTGTAAACATTTCCAACCACATAAGCCCTAGGTTAAATCAAACGGGTTTAAATTGATAAATGTATTCTGAAATTCGTGAACTTCTTTGATTGAATTTGTTCACGCGAATGACACTTTGACTGCATAGTGAGCTGAACTGTAGATACAACCTGCATTAAAACCTGTATGAAATCAGTTTTTCCGCACAAGTAGAGGGCTATTCTTTCTGTGTGCTTCGAAGCCCCAAATGACCAGTGGTACCGAGTGAAATGGTTTGATTCGTTTTATTTTGTGAATTTATTTGCAAAAGAGTGACGCTACGTCATCGGTAATTCATGATTTACATGTCGAGTGGAAATGTTATTCCACCCCCACCTCCAAATTAAATGGTGGCACACAGCATATCGTTTGAATTTCAGTGGTAGATTTGTTTGGCATTAGCTAAGCGAAGCATTGTTAAATCACAATCATGTGAATGCAATTCAGCACTTGGTAGATAAGGTCAACTGGATATTGTCCGATAGTGGATACTGTTCGGAGGTCACATCAGTGCCCAAAATAATGGTCCATATTGTAGTATTGGGAAAACATTTGGTTGGGCCCTATTGGAGAACACTGATGGTTCAATACGTACGTAGCTCGGCTGTCAATGACACAAATTGTGTGCTCACTGTAAGTAGTGTTATCCTTGCATGACAGCTGGGTGACTCGCCTCTCTCTTACACTAACAACGTATTCAGCAGTTATCTATCTGGTTCACGGTAATTGTGTAGCAATTTTGTTCTTTATTCAGACAAATAGAAACACGAATTGGTTGATCCATTGACTGGTTTATTCATATAACTTACCGGGAGTTTTCATTACCAGTACTTATTGGGTGGAAAGGAGGGTGACTGATGGTCGTCGGGTCAATGAAATTGCATTGATAGCTGGCCACCCGTAAGCTAGAACCCCTAAACCCACTTGATGTTTGCCATTAATAATTTAACGTTTGTGTAGCTGAACATCGATAGATCCAATCACATGTCCGGTAGAGTTACAAGATAGAAAATTTAGGTTCTCCGCTTTAATGAATAACAATCAGATAAATTAACATGATCTACATCAGCTAACTTCCCTGACTAGGCCAACAATTAGTCAAACCAGGATGAAACTCTATTTCTTATTTGCCTACAGTGTTCAAAAATTGTGAGAATTAATCACGACATTCCAAAATTTCCATGCTTCTCGTTGACAGCCCGAAAATATCCAGCCTTGGATCCCAAATCGTAGTTGTGAAGGCGGAACGTACTTAGCTCCATAGGGCGTTCCACTACGCGTTTCGATCTAACTGGAAGTTATCAGGTATGTGTGGCCGTATCGGTTGTGTGTTCATTTGGTTAGACGTTTCGGCGTTGACCGCAGCCGTATTCAAACACTAGCCAGTCCCTGGGGCAGGACGAATTTGTAGACGAGCCATAAGTCACTGACGCTTGAATTTGCTGATCATTTTAACTCAAAATTGCCCCGTACGAATAATAAGATTATGATTCTGATGTCAACAGTCGGGATTTTGTTTTTTATGCATTGTTATTAGTTTTCAGGTCCGAAAATTTATGTTTTCCTAGTGTTTAGCAGACTTAAATTTAGGGGGTAGCAGAATATCCTTTGGGCTCATCCTAAACTATGGTAACCAGGCGTTCAAATAACACAAAATACCCGTGTATGTCATAACAGTAACGACAATGTCGAGAAACTTTGTATCCTCTAATTGGTCCTCTTGGGCAATACATGATACATTTATATGGGACTCATAAGAAAGTACTTGTGCAATTTACACGAAGTTCACGAAGACGGCTTTTCAAAAGGAGGGAAAATACGGTGACCAGTCACTGAGTAGGCAGTTAACATCAATATCAAACAAGATTAGGTACATGAGTTTTTCAAAGGTCGAGTTTTTCATACACAGATTGCAGGTAATGCGGTCAGATTACGGTTGCCCTCGTGATCGATAGTAGTATGGGAAGTACAGCTCTTGAATTGTTCAGGCTGTGCGGTAAGTGATCTCGAATGAATGCTGTTTCTCCGTGACCTATTTAGTTTCTGTCAAATGTGACGCAACTACACTTTATCTGGGCTCTTCCATCCATCTCTGAAAGACACGGGTGTTTTTTACTTTCTGTCGGCTATGCGCTTTCGTAAGATAAGCGCATGGCGCTTTGCACCAGCATACAAAAGAGTAGATGTAGAACCTGTTGATACAAAACTGGTGTTGTCTCTCCTAATGAACCTGATATTAAGCTTGGAATGCACAAATTGATGCACAGACTGGCAAACACATATTACAGTTCATCAAAGGTTTCTGTTTACCAGCCTCCAACAACCGAAATATTGTTGAATGAACGTGCTGTGTAAATATGCCTCCTGTTAAGTGTACGCTTGGCCTTAGTAACGAGAGGCTTTATAATTATAATTTGGGCCGTTTCTTTAATCGTCCACTGAGATTTAACCTACTGTTTTGTGCAAACACCGGAATTACAAGTCCCCATCCAGAGGGATGCGAATGAGAATGCAACTCTATTTAAACAAGGTTTGGGAGATGAAGCTCTGATATATCAACCAGTAGTCCAGAAAGATGATCACACTAAGATTTACCTGTGTTTATTTCAGGGTGATCGGCAACATATCCAAACCATATTCTCCACATTGGCAGTTATGGATTTTACGCGTCAATTTCCAACAAAACTGCACTATCGAAGATTCCAACGGAAACCAGGTGAACAAATTAAGATGGGGTAAACTATTTCTCCTTATCTGCTTGCTGGCGAAATGTTCAGTCAGGCGCAATATAAAAACACTCACTCACAGGTACGCTGCCTTTTTGACCTTATAATGCGCTTCCCATCTGTTGTTTTATATGTAGAAACCAAATATATGATACCTGGTTACATCCTCCTCTCAATCAGTTCCGTCCAAAAGTGTCCCGTGTCTTCATCGTTAAAAGCACTTTAAGTTTACCTAAAAACAACCCTGAAACCCGGCTAACATCGCATTATTCTCAATGCCTACAAATGACTTGTGACCTCGCATCCTACCAGTGCGTTTTGCTTCTCACTTCAATCGAATTACGATTAGTGAACGCAATGACTCACCTCGGCTGTCAGACCTCTTAAAACAGAGAAGCGCGGCGTAACCGACATGCACTTGTAGGCCGAGCTATCTCGTTTCAAACTGAAGGGAGGTTCATTTCAAGATCTCTAAAGAACTGGTAATCTCTTCAGAAAGGTTACTTGAAAAATCCAAACTCACTCAAGCGTTTTATCTAACGGTGTGTTGCTCGCATACGCATTTCGAACGACTGACATGTATGGATGATTCCTAGCCCCCAAAATTCTTTTCACAAAACCATATGTCCAGACACCTGAAACAGATTCGTTCTAACATAGCAGAAATGATCCGATTTGACACCATCTCCACAACAGCATACGAGTATGAAACACTGTCTAACTGAACTTATTTTTAGCGCATCAACTGTCGCGCATGTTCAAGCTGAGTATTCCTGATCAGGTGTTTCTGACAAAAACTGACACTATCGGTACGCCAAGGAGCTGTGACATGTAAAATTGAGTAACGAAAATAGCCTCCACTTGAAATATTTCTATGTATATTACGCGAAAGTGAACTTCGTGATTCTCCGACAGCCTTTTAATTGTTAATAAACTTGGAAAAATGTTTTGGCTCTCTTGTAGACTTTAATTACAACTACCGAGTTCGGTAAACGGACTGAAAAATTTGGCCAAGCTTTATGGCGTTTGCGACAGTTTGTTTGATCGGAAGATTTACACTTGTTGTACAGCCAACCCCATGTGTTTGTGGGGTCACTGCCATTCCCCTGTTGAAGATAGGTGACGAACTCTTTAACAATCTCCAACTCCAAGATTTCAGCTTGTTGTGGGATCACCTTTGAGCTAATTGCACTGAGACCAATAATTGAATGGATGTTGACTGCAAGCCACTAGTTGGCACTCGCAAGCATAACCGGAAAACATCAGGGAGATTTAGTCATTGTAAAAAATCCCTATATTTTACCTCCGCGACTGAAGGGAATAAAATCAACCGCATCTTACTGTATCACACGTACTGAGCTGGATTTAGTAGCACAAAACTCTCATTGGTTAGGTGCACATGGCAATGTGTGATCAGTCCTTACAAACCTTCTCAATTTGTGCGTCAAGAAAACAGTAAATAACGCGATCTCTCTTAAAGTTTCAGACTCCTGTAAACAAACAGAGGTTAGGAGGGCATGCTCTTATATTCTGGTCATATTCTGGGACCTGCAAATGTTTTTTTTCATATTAAACTATGAAGAAATAAGAACTGATCGGACACTATTGAACAAATGTCTCGTGGAAGTTCTTGTCAACGCGACGATACACCTGCACTTGCCCGTAACGACGGGTGTGTCACATATCTGCCGAGAAACTTGTTCAGTCGCGTGCAGTGTCATTCTATTCAGAAGAGCCTCTTATATTTTGTGACGTTACGTTCCACAGGCCTTTTGAGACATTGCTTTCGAATGTTTTTTGCGGTTTAGCTCAAAGTTGTCACCATGTTAAGTGTCTTTGCAACGTAAATGAGTTTGCAAGCACATAGAAAAATGTATTTTTTGAAAATTCGCAAGAACTACCACCGTTATGTTTACGCGTGAGGAAACATACCAATTCATTCGTCATCAGTAAAGTTACATGACCTGATCGGGGACGAATGTGTCAACTAAATGCGTTCTGTGCAGTACAATGTGATGAAAATTCTTTGAACTGATCCGAAAAGCAAAACTTTAACAGCTTCCTGGAAGCACCTCTTTATCAAATGTTCCCCCAACGTGATTCCCTGAGATACAAGTTTCCTGGTGGCTGTGGGCGTTATGAGGACAATGAGATAGGTCATCACTGTCATCGTATCTGGCTAAAGTTAAACGCTAAAGTTAAAAACGATTCTGTACGTTTCCATCATTTTCTTGATATCGAACTATATATGAAGCGACATCTCCCAAGTATGGGCGTACTCTCCAGTTCAGACATGGTAATTCATCCCGCTACCATACGTTTGCGGACTACTACCAAAAAGCTAGCGTGTCAGCTATTCGGAATCCAGCTCCCGATTCAGCCAGACTCAAGATTTCAGAAGAAATCCGATCCTTCTTACGTGATAGGATCGTATGTTACTTTGCAACACACCGGTGAATGATCAATACGTCGTGGTTTCATTGTAGACAACGAAAAATTGACGATAATTTCATCCTTTCGGACACCTCAGTAACCACTCAGCAAATCGAGCTATACACTATCTCCTATTATGTACCTAATTGGTTGTTGAGCTGTTCGCCGAGCTTGGCAGTTGGATTGAAAACGTTTCATCACCAATCGAGATGACATCGTCAGTGCAGGGTTGAATGGGTGAATTCCTCCTCTTCTGCCTGTGGCTATATAGCTTCAATATACAGCTACAATCTACACAATCGCAGGCAGAAGACGTCACCTCGATTGGTGATGAAATGTTTGCAATCCAACTGCTAAGCTCGGCAAACAGACTAAAAATCAAGCAGCGCACCCAAGCTTCCTACATTCCACAACATAGCCATTAACCTAATCATCTATCTGGAGTTGTATATTTATTTAGAGTGGTTTATGTGTGCTCTGTAGCAAATAGAACTTTCGTGGCTAGGATCAAACTTGATATGAAGGGCAGAATGTTTTTAGAATGTGTTTAGACTCAAGGTAATTATCGTAAATATTTAGGAATAACTAGTCAAATGTTGTCAAGTTGGACTAAACGAATTAATCCACTTCAGTTCACGAAACTTTAAACTATTATGTTGACAGTGGGAATGTTTTGGGTGCTTTCACTCTGGTAAAAAACGTTTCAAATGAGACACAAATGTTTTGAGAAATCGCTCCTTCCTCTATTAAATATATGACACGAAATGGCCAAATTCACGTTAAACTTTTGGATGACGTGGTTTGTCTGAAAAACCGCCAGACAATGTGAATGAACGGAAACAATTTTCATATTTTAACGCACCGCATAATTCTGAATTTAGAAAAAAGGAGACGAAACACACGTTTGGCATATACCAGACACTCAGCATTGGGCTAATTGAACCCCGATTTGCCGATTTTATGAGTGTCTTAACCAGAGAATTTCGTTTAACTATGCATCGCTCGCAAAACGGAGAAGTAGGGTTTCTCAAGGTACAACATTAGAACGATCAATTTTTCAGTCAACGAATTCATCCCAGATGCATTCGACTGTTGGGCGAATTTTCATTACGCGCTAAATTTCAGAATAAAACCACAATATTGACCTGAGCCATAGTTTTGTCACGAGCTGTCAGAAAGGTATTTCACGTGACTTTACAGTGACCTAATTTAGACCGATTGACCTGATCGAGCTGTTTTCAGTTCCAGAAATAGGCATATCTCCAGCGCTTAAGTTATATCTAGTTTGTTTGACTGGAATCGTTTACGAAAATAAATTTCGACTGCTCAGCTCAGCTACCTACCGCGAAAGTTTCATTGGAAACACTGGAAAATCTGCATAACTACCCCTTCGGTCAGCAGTAATGCCATCTGTTTCTGACAGTTCGTAAAAACAGCGCTGCCATAACCGGGACATCAGTTCTCTACATAATGTGATCGAGCAAATTTACTAACATCTCCGAAATTTAACCGGTGGAATAAAGTTTTTAATCGTTTTTACACACATACCAGATGATGCCAAAAATTTGGCACCTTGAAAAAGTATAAAGATAACCGGTGAAAAAAGTGGAGAAATTTATCTGACGAGGAAAGGAATTCTTCGTAATTTCAATATATACATCGCCGATCTGATTGCTTGATTTGTAGCCTCCTGAAATATGGATAAATGTGAAGCACTCACGTAAGATTGGCTCATAATAATTAACTATGATTAAGCTTTTCTTCTATGCTGCACCGACCAGGGCTTTTCAGTTAAAACTATTCTTGTATCAAATTGATGGAAACAGTTGAATCGACAGACTAAGTCAGATCAGAGCTGAACTCGGTATTTCTTTCGTCTAAGAGTGCAGAAATATAGGACAAATTTGCCATGCTTCCTGGTTAAAGCTCCACCGATAAGTTTGTGCTGCCAGATCATGGAAATGAGCAGAAAAACATAAATGGTATGGGAAAACCCCCCTCGATTTCTGTCGCTATCACTTCTACCCACCACAAAAAGCATGTCGGTTCACGGTTTTTCACCAAAACTGCACCACTAGCAAAGAGCAGCAGGTTACAGGTTCTGGCAGAAGCGAAACAACTGGTTAAAAGGGATATTAATTCAGTTTTGCTCCGTAATTGAAACCAATTTGTGCTGAAGAAGTCGGGAGGCATCTTGTTACTGTTTCATCAGTATTGAAAATTATTGGCTGCGCGTGCTCGACAAAACTCCAGGGAGCTTTCTGCTCAAGACCTTACCATTTGGAAGCCGAGAAATAGAAATTTCGACAGTCAGCAGCCGATCAGCAGTGTGATTAACTCGCGCTTTGACTTGGGCTTACCCTGCCGCAAGTCAGGTAAGTCTTCATCTGGGAACCAAATGGCATACAAGTGTTTTCGTAACCTAAGATGCTCAAATATAGCCCCAACACTTCCCTTTCCTGATGTTCAGTCAGCTTCATATGAAGTGACAAAATATATGCTGGATCCAAAGGAGCCAATCCTAATTCAAAATTAGTTGGTTGGATGAAGCCTAAGC